ATCTTTGTTTGGAGGAAATCTTTTAACTGTGTAAAGGTCTCATTCTCCTCTCATATCTGCATAGATAAGTAGAATTACTCTGGTGTGGAATTGACTTGGGGAATAGAAGAAACAACAGGCTATGAATCTCATAATATAAGTCACCCAGGAGTTAGGTATCTAACGTAAGTTAGTGCAATAGTTTTCCCCATCACATCTCAAGCCATCTAATTTTTATTGAATGGTCTGATGTTGCAGCCATATAGCATGCAGAAACACAACTGCCGTGGTGTTGGGACAAAACATTTGCTTGCTTAATTTTTACCCAATGGGCCATACTCAGCTGGCTCATAGCAGGCAGCTCCATGCTTGTTTTCATCTCAGTTCTAGGGATGGCCTTCAAACTCATCAGGGCCTTTATGCCTGCATGAAACTGCAGATATACAAGGACAAGAGCTATGAGAAACTTTTGCTATGCCAGAGCAATGGTAACTCCAAAATCTATTGGTGATTTCCATTTAAAGCCTGAAGGGAAAAAAAGTTTTAACCACTGCCTAAGTTTATGAGAAGATCTCTGCTTTTTCTGCCTGAAACTGCCCAGGGATGCATGTACAGAAGCTACAAGGCAAGACAGTTATATTGTGAAAGGCAAGGTCAGGGAGTTCTCCTCGCAAAAGTTCAGTGCGGATTTTTTTATGTCTTCTGAGAAAAAAGCTTTTACCAAAACAGTAATCTGGATTAAAGTATTTTGTGGGAGGAATGTAAGGCAGAGAGATGCCATTGAGACAGATGAACCCCAAAGACAGAAATAGAAAGTGAGTTTCTCCTGAAAACCTAGTCTGCTGCTCTTCATCTTTCCATGGCTTTCAAGACGTGTGAACTGGTCTAATTAAAATAACCTTAAACAATGATATTTAGTAAAGGGAAAGTGTGAAGAAGAAGAGACCAACATAGCAGTTAACCTATGCATGGAGTGGAGAGTACAGACATTTTTCCTGTTCCTGTCTAATAGCTTTCTGAAAGAGGTCAATCTTGAGAGCTTGGACAGGGGTTCATCTCCTCCATCCTTCTGCATAAGGAGAGGAAGAACTTCAAACAGATGTACCTGTTTTCTGAGAGACATAAGAAGATTTAGGAAGAAAGCATATGTGGCGCATCTCTATTTCTGTGAAGGTCTACATGGCACCACAGAGTGCCTCCACATGAGAGGAAGACCAGCCTGATGGTCTGTCATGACAAAAGTAAGGATACTCTCAAGTTTGCTAAATTTCTTGCCTTATATAAGCTTGCAAATGCCTTTTTTTTTTGGTAATTTGAAGACTGCTATATTGTTTTCCTTAAATCCATATTAAAAACATATTTATCTATTTCCTTCGTTTTCTAACTATTTCCCAGGGCGCCTTTAGTTTTTAGGAACACTTGACATGCTGTGTAACGCTTATAAATGCTTATGACGCCTTCTTGTATTACTTCTGGTGATCCATCCTAAGACTTATGTATGGGTGAACATACTTTATATCCTCCTAGTGGCCTGGAGAAGGCCACTGACAGAAAAAGTCATCTAAACTCTGCAAAATATCAGGTGGGCTTCACTGTTCAAATACAAACTGATTAATTCCTTGGTAATGAGAAGAAAGGTAGCAGAGTCAAGATCATACTTTTTAGCACTAACCAAGCCCAATGTATCTACAGGCTTAATTACCTGCATAGGGATGTTTTATGAAATAACCAAAATTGAAGCATAAATAAAAAAAAAAGCAGCATGTGACATTGTCCACTTCCAAAATACTGACGAGATATGGCTTAACAGAAGAAGAAAAAAGGAAATGAATTGTGAATAAACTTTGCTTTTCCCGTGAAGGTTGGACAAAAAGAGTCTCCATTTGATAACCTTGATGAACAGCTGGGAGAACAGGCCCTTGGGGCCAGGTTATTCCTTCTCTTTTTTTTTTGTGACTGACTAATCTAAACAGTAACGTTATATAAGTAGCATTTTCATCTTCTCCAGTCAACATCTAAAGCTCACAGGAATGTTAATCACAGCCTTTTGGCTCTGGTTTATCCTGATTCCTGAACCTAATACTAATCAATGGGCTACACTGGTCACACCCTAATGTTTTATAATAAGTCCTATGTTATCTTAGAGCTGTTGTATTGCATCTCCCAAACTGTTGCTGGCTCCACTTTCCTGTCACAATCAGTCGGCTATAAGCCAGTGTGGTCAATGTGGTATGGTCTTGAATGTCTGTGGAGACCTCAATCTTATTATGTAGGTTAAGGGCAGAGATGTAGGAACTTTGTCCCTCAGGTAAAATAAATTCTGATAGGAGGGTGGATAGATGTTGCCACGGAGCCTGAAGCAGAGCAGAACTTGGTTTCCTGTGTACCACCTCAGGATCCAAAGGCAAAGTCTGTATCTGTGCATATTTGAGAGACCATCAATAACTCTCAGTCCCTGGTCATTTGTCTGGCCTTAAACGTGTGACCATGGGTTAACATGGTGTGGAGCCCAAGATAAATGCCTCCTAAGAGGCAGATGCACAGAACAATCCTTAAAACAATTGGTTAGGTTGGTTAGGCTGGTTGGTTGGTTAGGTTTTCTTCTGGATGAGAAGCTCAAGCTCTGCAATATTTTTTCTGTGTAGAACACAGAGTTGCACAACCATGTAGGTTGGATGGGATGTCACTATGTCACCGGGGCCAACCACCTGCTAAAAGCATAGTCAACTGGATCAGGTAGCTCAGGACTGTGTCCACCTGAGTCTCTATTGTCTGTAAGGATGGAGATCTCACAAGCTCCCTGGGCTCCCGCTCCATTGTTCGCCCACCCTCACAGTAAAAATGTTTTTCCTCATATTGCGTTAGAATTTCCTGTGTTCTAACCTGCGTCTTTTGTCCTACCTCAATGGATCTCCAAGAAGGGTCTGGCATACTCTCCTCTACATTTTCCTGTTGGGTAGATAAAGGCAGCAGTAGCCATCTCTTCTCCAGGTCGAACCAGCCCAGTGCCCTCCACTTCTCCTTGGTGACCATCTTGGTGAGTCTGTGCTGAGAAGCCCAAACCTGGACACCGCACTCCAGATGTGGCATCACCAGTGCCAAGCAGTGGGGCAGGGTTGCTTCCCCAGACTGGCTGGCAGCCCCTGTGCTAATGCAGCCCAGGCTACGGGAGGCCTTCTTTGCTTGAGGTAAAACTTGAGGTGTAGGAGAGAATCTTGTGTAAGATATATCCAAATATGAGGGAAACTTTTGTAATACACACAGAGGCAGAATTAGAGATGAAGGTCTGTTGAAGCTGCATCTGATGGTCAAAACTGGCCTTCTTACCATTAGGGGAGCCCAAACCAGTGATCCACACAACGCTAATAGGGAAAAGTTTGCACCTGAAATACTGAGTTTCAGTCAATTCTGCTTTCCCAAGCAAAGGCAACAGGCAAGGCAACAGGCAAAGCATTTGTATGTGATCGTATTTGTATGTATTTGTATTTTTATGTCTTCTTCCAGGCTACCTTGGAAGCAGCAGGCCCAAAGAACCTGATCTCACTATTCTAGCACGTAAATAGCTGCTGTACATAACTGTAGCTGCTATGCACAATTTTCCAGGTTCTGTGCTACCTACAGGGACTCCAATTTTGACCCATTTCTAATACAAGCAGGGGAAAGTCTGACTAGCACAACCAGTTTGTAAGGCATGAGGCTTGCATAGCTTTTGTTAATAGTTCACCATCACCACTTACAAGGTGATTTCCTGAATAGAATCTGAACTGTTTGGAGGGTATAAAAATCAATCTCCTTGCATTTTTTTTCCTTTCGTCAGGGTCTTCTGATGTGACAATAGCATATAAGTAGAAAAAGGGCACTGCCTTAGCTTCTCAGTCTGGTTTCACATCCCTCCTTCCCATCACTAGCAGGTGAACCCTTTGCTCCCAAAGCCTCCGGTGCAAGTGTAAGTATTAGAAGTGCCATATTTGGATTTCCTGCATAAAAAGCATAAAAAGGAAATATCAGGAGCGCTTAACTGGGATGAGGTGCATTTGCCGCTAAATATTCACCGTGGACAGCTGGCATCTGAACTATGTATCTCAGAATAATACTTGTGAGGATACAGCAGTGTGAAGATGTCAAACTCTATGTGAGGTGGCTTTTTTTTTTCACTTGGAGTAGATCAGTGCTGTGACATCTCTGATTTTATTTACTTTTGAAAACTTGGCAGCATCCCTCATGTATTAGAGAAACAAAAATACAGATTAGTATTTAAGTAGTAAGCCACACCTATTCCTAAGAAAACATGCTTTTCAAGTGCTTAGCCTTGCTTGCTGAGCTGACCTGCCAGTCTGCCAGGCTAGGCAATCTGACTTTCAGCAATGAGGTCTAGTCATGAAGTGTAAAGATTAATTCACGTCGACTATAACACCTCTGGAAACAGCCTATCAAATCAGCCCGGTTGTGCCATCCAGCATGCCTGATGGGCTTAATCTAACGTCTCATCCTGGTCTTTGGGTTATCAGTGGACAGATATGACTTTAAGTAATTGAAAAGACATTGACCTCAGGGAGTTTCTGTCTCTTGGCACTCAGGCTTTGCTGATTACCTATTCCAGTCTTTCTTTTCTCATATTTTTATCTTCTACAGGGCCTTTGCATCTCTTTTAGGAACTTGAAATTGAGGCATGACATCACTGATAGCCTGATTACAGACAAACTCTGAAGACGACATGTGTGGGCTTAAAATGACATCGTGTTAGTACTGTATCAATCCACAAATCTAGTAGTGCCTCTGCAAATTTAGGAGCTGATTTATCTAAGAAGTTAAATTTTGTTTCCTCTGGGCCTTATTTGTGCAAAACCTTGACATGTGTTGCACTTGGAAGATGTAAGGAGTTTCAGGAATGGCAATGGAATTGTATGCATTTTTGTAGAAATTAAGGAATTTATTAAACCTTTTCCAAAGCAAATTGAGCCACTAGGTACACACCTCTCAGCTAATAGAAAGCACCCAGCATATACCACATTTTAAGACAGTGTTTTACTAGTCAGGTCACCACTGTTGAGAAGCTCTTTGGAGCATGAGTCACCCACTCATTCATGACCTGAGAAGGATGTGATGAGTTACTCGCAGGGTCACCACTGCTGAGATGAAGAGGTCTTCCGGGTAGAGAGCTTCATTTAGGCTTCTCCCATTCTATTCTGGGCATGCAGCCAGGATGTCCACAGGGTCCCACCTACAGCAGAATTTAGAGAGGTTCCTTTAATTTTCTTAGGTTTCCCTTATGCCTTAAGTGATGGACTCTAGCCACCATCTTATTCTTACACAAACTACAGGCAGCTGTCAGATGCTAACATTGCTTACTGATATGTGAATTCAGCCAGCAACTTGGAAGATAACGGTTTATCTTCCATAATTCACCTTTAGGCCACTAGAATCTAGTGGGCTATTTTAACCTAAAACATATTCATGTTCTGAGGGAAAAAAGAATAAAATTAAGTGGATTTTTAAGTAGAATTATTCTTTAACTTTAAAAGTTCTTATCTTCAAGCAAAAATACACACATTTAGTCTCCTGGGCATGAAAGGACATAGTCTAAGATAGCTTCATAATCAAAAAGACAAGATGTGTATGGTGATTTACAGAAAGGATTGGATGTTTGCAAAATTACATGCTGGCCTTGAGGAGTTTTCTGGGTAACAACTGGAAGGAAAGACACAGAGAAATACCTTTCAGCATGATAATATCTGCAGAATTTTGTTTCTGGACAAGGAATAAGCTTCCCCGGCACAGACTTTCCTCTGAAAATCCTTTGGGGTCTCTGAGATCAGCCGCCTTCTATTGGAAAGCTATATATCCTCTTGTTATTTCTCATGCTGGATTTGTCTAATGTCTTGCACATTCACTGGCTGAATGGTGCCCATGTTAGCAAACTGGTATCTTAGGCATATTCCTATTCAACACCTGCCCTTTGGGTGGCGGATCACAGAGAAGCAAGAGGAACTGGAAAGATCGGATGGAAATCATTGAACAGAGAGATAAACATAAGAGATATCAAGTAAAACAAGCAGTGAGCTCTCAAGCCTTGTAAATCCTGGGTCAAAAAGGTAAGAAACAGGGGCTGTTAATCAAAGTGAGAAACTGAGGCTGTTTCAAAGCTGTTGCATTAAGCAATATTGCAGTGTGGCTGTGATATGTTTTACTTTTGATTGTGCTCCGGTCAAGATTGAGGCAGCTTTGAATAGCAACACAGCAGGGGTAATATAAAGTAGATACAAGTCACAGCAGAAACAGCAGCCATATAGAAAGCAAGAAAGTGAGGAGAAAAGGCAAGAGCACCTGTTCTGAGAAGAGGAAGAAATTAAACCACATCCTTTCTGCAATAGGCAAGAAGGAAAACCTTCCGCATATACTAATACATAAAACTGCACACACAGAACTTTTCATCTTGTGCATACTTCATGTAGACTGTCCACTCAAGTCACAACATCCCCTTTTGCAGTCCATCCACCCTGTGAGAGTACCTTTTGCCTCAACAGGAGAGGAATAGAAACAACGATGAGTCCGACCTCCTTAGAGGGGAGGTGCCAGCAGAATAACGCTGATTGCAAAACCCTTTAGGAGAGCTTGCAAGGCACCACTGTGTGATCCTGAGCAGCATCAAGTGCTTACATGCAGTGCATTCAAATCTCACAGCCGTAAGCGCATGAAGGCAAAGCCTTGGAATACGAGCTGTGTAGCAGGTATGAGCACTGCTGAGACACCTATGCTTTCTCTGATGACATGAAGCCAGAAAAAGCAATAGTATCCCATCCCTGGAACTGCAGAAACTGGAGAAAGATGCTCAGGGAAGAGTAGAACCCTGCACTGAGGAATTTATCTGGTCATTTTTGTATAGAAATACAGTGGGTGTGATGTGTTTACAGGAAGCCTTAGCCAGAGTCATCCTAAAATTATCTGTCCCTATTTCTTAAATATCTTATGGAAAAACCAACAAGCAAACAAACAAAACCCAAAAAACGTTGCTAAATAATACCTACAATCAGGGACTGAAGTGACATGCCACGGTAATAGCAGCTCTTTAAAGAGGATGAACCAGATCCAGCAGAGGGCACAAGCAAAAGAAATTGTTAATTCTGTTATTATATTAACAAAGATTAACATTTGGCAAATTAAAACAGACCAGCTCCTTCACGAGGAATTCCCCTTATGTACACAAGGACTCCAGGCTAAGGATCTCAGTTCTCACCCCCGTTCGCCTGCAGGCACCCCTAACCATTTCAGGTGGTTTTAGACGTCTTAGCATATTAAAGAACATGTTCTTATCAAAAGGGCCATTGCAACTGATACAGGTCCTGGTTTCTGATGCAAGCCAGCACCAACCACTAAGCTGCATGTGAAGCTGATACAAATTCTAACCTCATTCTGCGGGTTGTGACGCCTGTTTTCATATCTGGTACTATGAATGCAGAGGAGGCACTTCTTCATAAGGGACTTGTCCCATTTTAGGACATTTTGGCTTTTATGTGTGCAGAGAAGGAGGGGGGTTGGAAGCGCAGCCAGTACCAACTATGCTCTGGGGCTAAAACAAATTAATTCAGCTCTCTGGACTGCAGGAGCTTAAACACTAAAGTGTGTTTTGGAAGACAAGGTGAGGTTGGAAAGCAAGGTGACAAATACTGAAAAAGCCGGAGCTGGTACGCACATCTAGTTTTCAGGACATGTGGAAGGCCAAACATTTTGGTGGCATGCAGGGTCCTGTAGCAAGCAGGAGTGACAGCAGGCTTCTCTGTTTCTCAATAGCTGGGTTAACAGAGGACAGGAGGTGGGGGTCAGATATCCCCACCCAGCATGGAAAAGGAAGGAGTTTGCAATTAGCTGTGTGATCACTTGCATCTTATCTTGTTGCTTCCATGACTGACCTAATCAAAACCTTTGGTCTGAATATACCTCATCTTGCTGGGCTGGATGATTCAGTTGGATGGTGTCACAGCCTTAAAGCAACTGCCTGGCTACCTCCGCTGAGTTTTGTGCATAGGTTTCCAGCAAGGCTATCAGGGTCTTCTTTCACCCCTTACTGTATACAGGGGAAATCCAGGTTTTGGGCCATGTCACCTCATTACGCTGTAATTGGAGGAAGGACTTCTTTTTCTTACATAGCCAGAGAGCTCCATGAACACTTATGATAGAAAGAATGATAGAAAGAAACTGTGATAAATTACATGACTCTAACCCTATAGTGCTGTACCAGCACACAGGGTTTCCAGATAAGCAACACAGATTTGCACTAACAGCTGATTTGGAATAGCCTGGTTCGGGGAATCAACATGTGCTGCAACAGTGCAAAATTCTCAGATTCAGGTAGATGCTGCAGTGCATAAACTATGTTGATTCTATACTTGTAAGTTGTATTAGCATTTTTATTGAAGAATATACTAAACATCTAAATCTATATTTCTGCTTTCTATTCCTCTGCTTCAGAGTTTGACCCAGCTTGCAAATTGCTGCAAAAAGTAAGTTTTTCAGTCACACCAATACAACTCATATTCTTTGAGTTTTAGACAGTTGAGAAGCTAATGAAGACTTTCAAGGTGAAACCTGGGGATTTAGGAAATTTCAAAGCTTGATTTTTCCTGCATTTCAAATTTTAATTGTAGAATTCCTGTAATTTGGAAAGTTTGGTGTTCAGTTGGCTCCTTCAATGTTATTTTTTTAATTTTATTTTCAGGCAAAATGACTTATTTTGCCATTCCTAACAATGCAGTTTACAAAGGGCTCCAAAGCCATCTGGAAATGCTGGGAAGACCTTCAATGCCTTCAGTGGACGTGGGATTAAGTTGGTTGATGGCATGATGACTGGTAAAGGCTCAGAACGTTCACAATCAGACTGCAGGAAAAAAGACTATGCTGTCTCCAAATTTATATGCAAAAGTTCAACATAAATGGTTATCACTGTCATTGAGCAGAAGAAGAAACCACATGGAATACAGTAAATATCTGCTTATCCATCTACTATGTAAAGAAAATACAGCCTAGATCGAGGAGGACGAAAACGGAGGATTTTTTTTTCTTAATGATTCAAACTATTATCAGGCTCTTGCTTAAAAAAGCAAGAGAAACATACAGTGCACTGGGAGCAGGCTTACACTGCATAACAGCTAATTCATACCATCATAAAGCAAAAGTTCATACATTTTTAGCGTCATAAAAGTAGAAGGAGAAAAAAGTAGCACTGAATAGAAAGAAGAGAATTTGAAACACAGAAACAGAACAAAACCCCATACCCTTCTTTAAGTTTTCTCACATTCTAATTTCTGTATGCTTATCTGAAAATACAAGTTTCCACATGGCCTTTTTGGGCACAGTATTATTACAATTTTGTAATGGAGCTCCCATCGAAGACAGACACAGCTTGGAGTCCAAGTGCTCTCTGAAGAACTGGCAGTACAAAATTTGTGCAGAGAATCAGCAGCCAGCATCAGTGTACAGCTAATGGTCTAGGAAGCTCACTGCCTCAGCTTGGTCTGCGGCACGTATAGTTGAAGGAGGGCAAAACATAGAAAGTGGCATGGTTTTTAGAAAGCATCACCCTTCTGTAGTGCTGCAGGTTAAAGGTATTCTGTTAAAGCCGTACTGATATGTGTCAGGCACACACTAAAGAGGAAGGAGAACAGGGAGATGAAGAAAAGAAGACAATGGAGTAAAAAAGCTGAGGAAGAGGAGCAGAGGAGCTGGCTTTTCCTGAGACTCCTCTGCATATTGCACAGAAGCAGGAGGTTGTCCTGAAAATGGTAATTTGATATCCTCACGCCTTTGGCCCAGGGGGAAAGCGTTTGTTCCCCACAGGGATTCCCTATCTGGCACAAGGCAAATTCATCTCTGGCTAAACAGTCCGTAACTGAAACTAAGCTCTGAGCAGATTCCGCTGGGCATTGGCTGCATTTTGGGTGCTGTGTGTCATGAACAGTGACTGCCAACTGCTAGCAATAGCCCCTTGCAAGCCTTAGGATCACACAGCCATCTGTCCTGCTGCACAGAGGGTCCTGCGAGGACAGACACTGGCATCTCCCCCGAAACACCAAGGGACTCCAGCATCAGGTATTTATGAGCATCCCAGCCACTATGCCTCCTGCAACTGGAGCGGATACAGGAGGAGAGGAGCAGGCACAATACACAGCTCTCATTTAACAAGAAGCTCACTTGTACTGAGACGCTAGTTAAACCAGGACCTCAGAT